AAACACCAAAAGCATTGGCAACAAAAGCCAAAATAGACAAATGGGACCTAATCAAACTCCACAGCTTCTGCACGGCAAAAGAAACAGTCACTTGAGTGAATCGGCAACCAACAGAATGGGAAAAAATTTTTGCAGTTTACCCATCTGACAAAGGGCTGAAATCCAGAATTTACAAAGAACTCAAACAGATTTACAGGAAACAAACAAACAAGCCCATTCAAAAGTGGGCAAAGGATATGAACAGACACTTTATGAAAGAAGACATATATGAGGCCAACAGTCATATGAAAAAATGCTCATCGTCACTGGTCATCAGAGAGATGCAAATCAAAACCACATTGAGATACCATCTCACACCAGTTAGAATGGCGATCATTAAAAAATCTGGAGACAACAGATGCTGGAGAGGATGTGGAGAAAAAGGAACACTTTTACACTGTTGGTGGGAGTGTAAATTAGTTCAACCATTGTGGAAGACGGTGTGGCGATTCCTCAAGGCCTTAGAAATAGAAATTCCATTTGACCCAGCAATCCCATTACTGGGTATATATCCAAAGGACTATAAATTGTTCTACTATAAGGACACATGTACACGAATGTTCATTGCAGCACTGTTTACGATAGCAAAGACCTGGAATCAACCCAAATGCCCATCGATAATAGACTGGATTGGAAAAATGTGGTACATATACACCATGGAATATTATGCAGCAATCAGAAATGATGAGTTTGTGTCGTTTGTAGGGACATGGACGAATCTGGAGAACATCATCCTCAGCAAACTGACACAAGAACAGAAAATGAAACACCACATATTCTCACTCATAGGCGGGTGATGAAAAATGAGAACACATGGACACAGGGAGGGGAGTACTAAACACTGGGGTCTACTGGCGGGAAAAGGGGAGGGCCAGTGGGAGGGGGAGGTGGGGAGGGATAGCCTGAGGAGAAATGCCAAATGTGGGTGAAGGGGAGAAATGAAGCAAAACACACTGCCATGCGTAGACCTACGCAAGTGTCTTGCATGTTCTGCTCATGTACCCCAAAACCTAAAATGCAATAAAAAATTTAAAAAAAAAAAAAGAAAAAGGAAAAAATTAAAAAAAAAAAGGTATCTTTCAAAAATCTACAGCTAACTTCCTAATTGTTGTTGAAATACCCAATGTTTTCCCTCATAAATAGGAAATAAATCAAGGATTTCTGCTTTTGCCACTCCAAGTCAATATGGCAGTGGCAGTCTTAGCAAGTTTAAAAACACTATAAAAGAAAAACAAGTCATACAGATTAGAAAGTAAGAAATAAAACTGTGTCTGCTTACAGTTTCACATAGAGATTTCAAATAGAATTCGGACCCACATATAGTCATTAAATACTTCTCAGTGTTGATAGTTATTAGTTAAAATGGTTATGTTTATTAATATTTCATAAAATAATAGAAGTGATAAGATATTAATTTTTAAATAGTTTATAATTCAGAAAGTTAAGAAATTCTTATGGCTTTTCTCTTAAGCTAAATTGCTGAATTCTGTTTTGTTTACCTTTTCTGAAAGCTCTCTCATGCCCTCTGCTGCCCATTTATTGAAAATAAATCAGTAAATAAAATATTAATTGAAGTAATTACATCTAGATGGTAAGAACCTCCCTATCCATTTGATTATTTGAGTCAGTTTTAGGAAACAATATATGCTATGAAATGCTTTAAAATTCTTATTATAAATGTAATATATTTTCACCATTGATACACAAAAATTACAGTAACCACTCATCGTGTCACTGCTTAGATAACCACTGCTATCAAGTGGTATATACCCCTCTGGAATTGTTTCCATGAAGTATAATTTTTATTTAAATTTATCATTAGTATTACACAATTGGGATCATACTGTATATGTAATTTTGTATCTACTCTTTTCACTTTATATATGGAATATTTCCATATCAAAATATAATGTTTAAATTGTTGCATAATAATTCAGATATATACTAATTTATGTAATACTCTCCTATTTGGGAGCATTTAAAAAAATTTATTTTGAGACAGAGTTTCACTCTCGTTGCCCAGGCTGGAGTGCAGTGGCACGATCTTGGCTTACTGCAACCTCCGCCTTCTGAGTTCAAGCAATTCTCCTGTCTCAACCCCCTGAGTAGCTGGGATTACAAGTGTAGCCTAGAGATGCTGACAAAGGACCGGAGGAGCAGTCGCAGCTGCTTTCTGAGGAAGCCGGTGTTGCCGAGATTGCCAAAATGCTTTGGAGTTTTTAACTCAATCTAAGAAAAATCCAAAATAGATTTGAGAGTGGTGGCCGGCCACCACAGCCAGCTAATTTTTGTATTTTTAGTAGAGACGGCATTTCACCATGTTGTCCAGGCTGGTCTCGAACTCCTGTTCTCAGGTGATCCACCTGTCTCGGCCTCCCACAGTGCTGAAATTACAGGCATAAGCCACCACACCACACCAGGGAGCATTTAAATTGATGCAATTATTTTCTGTTACAAGTAACCCTATAAAACAAAATTACTTGAGCATCCCTAACTTTATGCTTACATCCCCAAAAGTACAATTTCTGAGTTATGGCAAAAGCTTTTCATGCTTATTGCTGTGTTGAACCCTAAAAATTTTGTCCTAACTTAACACTGTTACCAGAAGTATATGTTTAAGACCACAGAAATGGCTTTTTATAACTGAAGATGTGAAAATAACTTAGAAACAAACTCTAATATGGAGAAAAAGTTGTATATAATTTTCCACTTATGAGGTGAATAATTTGATTTTTTCTTCAAAGGTGTCAGAAAAATAGAAGGACCTTTTGGTAGAGTGATAAAAGGGCCAGACCTTCTAATTGCTTAATCTTAATGTTTCTGAATCTGTTTCCTCTCTAGAGTGTGAGGAGAATAATTTCCCTGCTAATTAGTGAGGATACAGTGAGATGATGCATGTGAACATGGTTTGACAACTATAATGTCATGTAGATGGAAGATACAACTTTTATTCATCACTGTTGATATGTGGACAGATTTGATACTCATGAGACTATTTTTAAGGGTCTATAATTTTAAATATTTTATATCAATCTTAATATTAATAATTTTCTCAATTTTTAACCTCATTTGATCAGAAAAGTAAATTTTTGGTCAATTCTATTTGGTTTTTATTTTAAAAAGTAAAATAATGATTATGCAACATAGAAAATTATAGTTCAGTTGCCAATTCCATTAACTTAGTTTGTCTCAGAAAAGGAAAAATTACCATAAAAACAGAATTCTCTATTAAGAATTAACATTTAATCTAAAAATGTCTAGACTTCCACAGAAAATCTGAGTACATTCTCAACTTCTTTAAGCCAGTGCCTTTTTCCAAATTTCTTTTCAAAGTTACACCTGTCAGTTTTCATCAAAAAAAGTTTGAAGATTATTCTGAATAATTATGACTAATGAAACCCAAAGACAAGGATAGAACTAATTCAGTGGGCCCCTGCTGAACCTGAGCTAGCACCTATAATCAGTGAGTCTTCACTGAAGGAAGAATAAGGAAGGAGGAAGGACTAAAAGGGCAGAAAAGAGGCAATGATAAGTTAAGAAAGCACTGAATTTTTAAAAAGGTAGTGGCTAGCAGAGAACATGAGAGTTGAACCCATAAGGACTTCAGCCCAGTCTATCTATCACAGTAGCCCCAGGAATTCTGGTCATTGTAGGGGGTTCAATTTTTTAAGGAACTTACATTTTAGAAAGATCAGCCTTGCAGGTTTCTTGGCTAAATAATTAGGGAATAATTTTTAGGAGGAAGTAAGGCGCACACAAGGGGAGAGAGAAATCAGGCAGGAAAGAAGAAAATAAATCGTTTTGTTCCCATTATTTTACTGGTCATAGAATTACAAAAGGTAAACACACACACACACACACACACACACACACACACTCCTTATAATTTAGGACCATCTTTCTTCATTTTAAAACTAAATAGACAGGTCTAGGTGACACAGATAAAGCAGTGGTGGAACCAGGAAAATAATCTGACTCTTGTCTCTGCACTTTCCACCGCACCACGGTGACTCTCTTTTATGTGTGTGTCTTTTTTTTAAGACTCTACAACAAAACTGAGGATCATTTGCAGTTAAAGAGATCAATGCTATTCTCAAAACAAGTTCTGATCTCTCATAATTTTCTTGGTAACTCAGAATCAATGTTAAGAACATTGAAATAAAAATATAGTACTTTACATGGTAATTTTGTAGACTGTGCACCATATTCCCATCCATTTTCTTACTTGATCCTTACAAAAACCCTTTTTGAGGCATGGCAAGGAAGGTATTATAATCTTCATTTTTAAAGTGAGCAATTAAAACTCAAAGTAAGGTCACTTAGGGTCAGGAAGGAGCCAATACTCTATTTCTATATTTGGAATACAGGAGGGAGTACACCTCCAATGAGGCAATTCCGTCCAAAAGCACCAATTTGGCTCTTCACTCTTTTGCCAAGGCATTCTCCATCCCCCGGGGGACGCCCCCACTAGGTTAGTGAAGCGTGCGTCTTGACATCCACAGAGGTTACTCCTAGTTTGCACCTAGTTGTCATCTTTAGAAGCACAGTTTCTTACCCCTTCCCTTGGTCCTGATCCTTATTTAGGCTTCTATTTTCCTCTTTGGGATTTGGCCTCCTGAGTCTCACTCCAAAGCTTCACCTCTCCAAACAAGAAGTCGCGTCCTTGGTATCCAAGGTGACTACGCAACTTTACGCTCGTTGTCCTTTCCGCTCCTTCCATTGGCCAGTTGGACTTCCAAGAACCGCCCCTCCAATGGCCAATGGTCTTGAGGCAAAGGGCACGCGCCTTTCCAGCGAGTCTAACACCTGCTTTCTTACCCTGTCTCCTCTGCGCATTGCCTCCTGGGATATGTGGTTTCTAAGATGCCAGAGCTCTGCGACGTTTCAACCTTTAGAACTACTTATCCCGTCGACCTTAGCGAAAGGGGCGGGAGTAGGCAAGAAGTCCGGGTCAGAGTTTAGAGCTTTCAAATTCGAACTTGCCTCTGAGGATTGATTGGCGGATCTTTAAATCGCCTCCAGCAAGCGAGCTAGTGCTTGCTTCATTTAAACCGTGACAGACGTCTCCTGTTTCACTGGAGACATCACAGCAGACAAGTCGATTGGCTGTGGCAAGTGACCCTCTCTGTGGTTGAAGTGTTCTGAGGACGGGCCAGAAGGGCGCGCCATGCTCGCCCCTTGCTCAGGCTGGGAGCTTGGCTGCCTCAGTCTCCGTCAGGTCCGACTATGGGCTGGCGCTGGGCGCTGGTCTTGCCGGGAGTGCCAAGCCAGGCCGTACGGCTCAGGTCGGGGGGAGCGCTGGCCAGGATCGGAGGCTGAGGTCCCTCCTCCTGGCCCGGCGCGACGGACTCTGAAGGAGTGGACGCTGCAGGTGAGCCCATTCGGTCGGCTGCGGGCGCGGCTCCCATGCCACCTGGCCGTGAGGCCCCTGGACCCCCTCACCTACCCGGATGGCGACCGAGTGCTGGTCGCGGTGTGCGGCCTGGAGGACGGTGAGCGGCGGGTCCTGGATAGCTTGTTGGTGAAGTACGACGAGACTCTTGAGGAGATGGCCATCGTGTCTGATAGTATCGACCCCCAAACGTCCGTGGAGGTGAACGCGCCCCTGAAGTTTGGCAAGTAAAGTGAAAACGGGTTTGGGTTACAGCGCACGCACAGTGAACTCATTAAATTTGGTAGACGTGCACTTTTAATTGATCCTGGCTTTCTAAACCTAATTTACAGTTGACGCCTTCGGAAGTGCACCTTTTCCTCTGTTCTGTTCTTGAGTATCTGAGCAGTATTTAAAAATTAGGTTCCCAATTATAGAAATTTTATCCATCGAATGGAAACATGATTTGGTATAATCCAGGTCAAATTACATTTGTGGAGCTTCTTGTGTTCTCCTTTATCCCATTGTCATTAACAAAGTGGCTTATTTTTCAAGGTTGAGGTTTCTTGACAATCCATTCAATGGTATGGAAGTCCATCTACATTTCCTCTTGCTCACAGCCTGGGAGTCTGTCCCCAAACAGCCCTGCCAATAAGATGTTCTATGTATTACCTGGTTTGAGTATTTGGTTTTAGACAGGCAGCCTAGCTTTTTACTGTTATGTTTCCATTCCTTTTGGCCTAAGTTCTCCATGAGTAGCAAGCTTTGAAGAAAAACATGTGGTAAGCCTGCCTAAGAAACTTAAATAGTAATGCTGCAAGATACGTTTCCTAGGTTTTGGGGTTGTACGTTATTTCCTAAATGGCAAGGCACTGTGTACACACACTTTTCTAGGAAGGGCTCCCCAGACTGTCACTCTTCCTGGGACTGAAGGAAGATATTGATGATGATGATGATGATTCATTCTTCCTGGGACTGAGGGAAGGTATTAATGATGATGATGATGATAATGATGATAATAATGACATTTAGCATTTTTAAGATCATCTTTTATAATGCTTACAGTTGCACCAAAAAGTAGATGCAGTAGTCCTCCCTTATGCACCGTTTGGATTTCTCAATTTGTTACCTGCCTCAACTGTTACAGGAAAATATTAAGATATTTTGACAGATCACATTCACATAACTTTTATTAGAGTATGTTGTTATAATTGCTCTATTACTGTTGTTAATCTCTTACTATGCCTAGTTTATAAATTAAACTTGATCACTGATATACATATATATAAGAAAAAAACATAGACTATATAGGATGTGGTACTATCTGTGGTTCAGGCATGGTGGGGTGGGGTGGGTGCTTCTTGTCCAGTGTAAGAGAAATCATCAATATATATGTGAATTCCAAATTAAATATCAGTGTTTTTAATTTTTAAAATTTGTATACAGAGATGCCTGCAGTTACATCTTAAATAGACAGCCAAGGATGGCATTGTGATTCCTTATTTTCCAAACTTTCTTCATATACCACTGTCTTTTGTCCACAAGAGATTACTGTTGGGGTTTTTTTGTTTGTTTTGACACTGTGTCTTACTCTGTCACGCATGCTGGTATTCAGCGGCGTAAACATGGCCCACTGCAATCTTGACTTCACGGTTTTAAGCGATCTTCCCACCTCTGCCTCCTGAGTACTTGGGACTACAGGTGCATGCTACCATGCATGGCAAATGTTTTTACTTTTGTAGAAATGGAATTTTGCCACATTGCCCAGGCTGGTCTGGAACTCCTGGGCTTCAAGCAATCCTCCTTCCTTGGCCTCCCCAAGTGCTGGGATTACAGGCATGGTGTAATTTTGTGGTTTTAATAGTATATATAGCCTAATCTTGTGGTTTTAATAGTATATATTATGTTTTTCAAAGTTGTTCCCATTTTTAAAATTTACTTCAAATACCTTGTGATATAGCTGCAATGGTAATATTTTCATTTTTTAGGTATGAAAGGTTAGACATAGGATTTAAAAACCTAAGTCATGATCATTTATACTGGGGAACAGGCTTCTACAGTCTTTCACAGGAGAACTTACCAGAATTGCAGTCTCTTATTTCTCTTTAGATGATTTAGGCCAGTAGAAATAACTGCCCTGTTTCTAAAAACTGGCAGAAAGGCTACTGTATTTGTCCTGTTGCCGTGGTAGAAGACTCCTTACCTTTAGAGTATGCCCTTTCCGGGATTCAGTAATGTTATGGACATAACTGAGGACCTGGATTTCTAAAATGCTTTTGAGCTTATAAACGGCAGTACTAACTTTTTTTCTTCTTTTTTTACTTCTAGGTTTGGATATCAAGTCATCTGGGTCTGGTTGTGTAAAAGTTCAAAGTATCGAGTGTGATAACTGTAAAATTGAAACTGAGCAGGGGACCAGCGTCCTGCAGTCTGTTAAGGTATAGCATTTTTCTAATTTTATTTCACTATTTTTAAAAAAAATCCTACACTATGAATTATGCTATCAAACTGAAGAGATTCTTCTATTTCTCAGAACATGGTTATTTATTTATCTCTCAGAAAGTCCTTGGCAAACATTTTGCCTTGAAATCAGTTCTAGTAGAGTACAGAGGTTGTAGCAGTTTTGAGGATATAGCCTCAAATTTCTTTTTGATTTCATTTCAAAGTGTACAGTGAAACTAACAGTATTTTCCTAGTATTCTGAAATCTTACTAAATAAATTTTAGTTTTCATGAATGATTTTCTTCCATTTTATTAGATTAAGGAAGAATCTTTATGCACTATAAATGTGCTTAAATATTAGATTACTTTAATCACATTTTTAATGTACCAGTTAGCGCATTACTTAAGGAGTAAGTAGTTATCTGTGCAAATAACATATGATTCATCTTGCTTTGTAATTAACATTTTTATAATTAACTTTTTTTTTTGAGGCAGGGTCTCACTCTGTCAGCCAGGCTAGAATGCAGTATATGATCTTGGCTTACTGTAGTCTCAACCCGCTAGGCTCAAGGGATCTTCCCACCTCAGCCTCCCAGGTAGCTGAGACTACAGGTGTGCACCACTATGCCTGCCTAATTTTTTTGAAATATTTTTTTTGTAGAGACAGGGCCTCACTGTATTGCCCAGGCTGGTCTTGAACTTATGGGCTCAAGCTATCCTCCTGCCTTGGCCTCCCAAAGTGCTGGGATTACAGGTGTGAGCTACCATGCCTGACCTATATTTAATTTTTTAAAGATTAGACTTGTGTCAGCTATAAATAGTTTGAAATCCTCTCTGATAGGTTCTAGCTTATCATTACTCTTATTGCTTCTTACATTTGCATAGTCAAAACTTGATACTTTTTGAACTTTGAAAGCATGAAGTTTTGTTGAAGTCAGTCATCTTTGCTTCATAATATTTTCATTTTTAGATTTCCAAACACCAGTTAAAATAGTTTGATGCATTTTTTTACATTTTTTTCTTTCATCCACCTTTATTTGCATATATGCCATTAGCATCTGTCTGAATATGAATCATTTCAAATAAATTTAGTAGCACAAATATCATAAAAGATTAACATAACCATCACACATCCTTTTAGCAAAATGAGTTGGTTCAGATTCTTGTTATAAAAGATTATGCAGTAAGGTCTTGATGTTGAATGACTAACTGGGTGAGGATATCATAATTCCTTTTTGTCCTTAGAAATATTTTGTTCAGTCATTGATACTTCAGTTTCAGAAAACTGATCTAGACTGTTGACCTCTGAAGACCCAAGAGTTTGAGATTTCCAATTTCACAATCAAAATTAGAATCTAGTATACTGCCGTCTGTCTCTGCATTTATGTTTTGATTAATCTGATTGTTCTGAAAGATCTTTCTCTGTTAATTTTCTTTTTTGCCATTGCAAGCTTGAAGTTAAAAATGGTTTTTTAGCCTTGGCACTATAAACCTTTTTGGCTAGATAATTCTTTGTGTGGAGCCTGTCCTGTGCAGTATAGAATATTTAGCACCATCTTTGGCCTCTACCTTCTAGATGCCAGTAGAATGCTTCTCAGTTGTGACAAGGAAAAATATCTCCAGACATTGTCAAATGTCTTCTGGGGACAAAATCATCTCCAATTGAGAGCCATTGCTTTATACAAGTCAATCATTCTTCTGTTTTCTTCTTATTATTTTTTTAAACATAGTTGGGAATAATTTATGAATATAATGATGAAATAACTCCTAGGATGATGTATTAGCAGTATGTAATAAAACATATAAAAAATAAGAACACTATTATCCCATAATGTATTTTAGATTTATAAGAGTCCAGTGGACCAGTAATGATAATTACAAGATAGAATGAGTTTTGTTCTACTTTTTTTTAAAGTAAGTACATTTTCCATTTGTTCCTTGAAAGAACTCTAAGAAATAATAGAAATCATGAAATGTCAGTCCTTACAAATGAAATAGCTCTAAATAAGAAATTCAAGAACTAAAATTAGGCCTGTGGATACTAATGGTATACTAAGGGTTAAGAGAATTATCCTTGAGATCTTAGGATTTAACTAACTTAAATTCACAAATCAGAATACTTTGGTAAAATATCTGGTTTAAGTTTTAAGTATTGTATAATATCATTACCTTGGATTGGTGATCACCTGTTAATATGTTTATCTTCCACTAACTTAAGGACTTAAAATATTGTTGACCTACATAATAATTTTTTTTTTTGAGACAGAGTCTCGCTCTGTCACCCAGGCTGGAATGCAATGGCATGATCTCGGCTCACTGCAACCTCTGCCTCCCAGGTTCAAGTGATTCTCCCACTTTAGCCTCCCAAGTAGCTGGGATTACAGGCACCCACTATCATGCCCAGCTAATTTTTGTATTTTTGTAGAGATGGGGTTTCAGCATGTTGGCCAGGCTGGTCTTGAACTCCTGACCTCAGGTGATCTGCCCACCTCAGCCTACTAAGGTGCTGGGATTACAGGCATGAGCCACTGTGCCTGGCCCTACGTAATAAAATTTTTATAGCAATAATAATAACTACCGTTAATAAGTCCTTATTATGTACATAAATCTTAGCTAAGCCTTCATTTAGTCCTTGAATTTTCTCTATTTTATCAAGGAAGAAACTAGAGGGCACCAAGAGATTGAGGAACTCACTTGAGTTCACATAGCTAAAAAAGACTGAGCTGGGATTTGACCTCAGATCTTTATGATTTTCAAGCTCATGCTCTTTCCATCTTTCTTTATTGTCCAAAGAAAACATATGATAAGACCACATTGGTACAGCATCCTTAGGGAATAAGATAAGTGAATTTTTTAGGCAATAGACCCTTAACTAACTGAATTTCATACATGTGCATTTTTTAAATGCAGTATACTTTATTTTCTAAATAATTTTTGATTTATTTAAACATTTAACTATTTGGTTTTATGTTTTCAAAAATTCTATAATCAACTTCACATTTTTGGGGGAATTAGATGAGCCTTAAATCATAACAGTAGCTCTTATTATTTTTGAACCTTAGACTTCTCAGAAAATCTAATAATTGTCGTCTTAAAAAAATGCACGTGTATATGAAATTTTGCTTACAATTTTATGAGTTCATGTGAGCTTGGTTAAGAGTTCTTGATTTAAAACAACAAGTGTGCTCCTCCTGTCACCCAAGATGCTGAAAGGAAAGAAAGCCAAGGGAAAGAAGGTGGCTGCAGCCCCTGCTGTCATGAAGAAGCAGGAGGCCAAGAAAGTGGTGAATCCCCTGTTTGAGAAAAGGCCTAAGAATTTTGGCGCTGGACAGGACATCCAGCCCCAAAGAGACCTCACCTGCTTCGTGAAATGGCCCCGCTATATCAGGTTGCAGTGGCAGAGAACTATCCTCTATAAGTGGCTGAAAGTGCCTCCTGCGATTAACCAGTTCACCCAGGCCCTGGACTGCCAAACGGTTACTCAGCTGCTTAAGCTGGCCCACGAGTACAGACCAGAGGCAAAGGAAGGGAAAGAAGAAGCAGAGGCTTTTGGCCCAGGCCAAGAAGAAAGCTGCCAGCAAAGGGGACGTCCCTACTAAGACGACAGGTCCTTTGAGCAGGAGTTAACACCATCACTACCTTGGTGGAGAACAAGAAAGCCAGCTGGTGGTGACTGCACATGACATGGATCTCATCGAGCTGATTGTCTTCCTGCTTGCCCTGTGTCATAAAATAGGGGCCCCTTACTGCATTATCAAAGGAAAGGCAAGACTGGGACATCTAGTCCAAAGGAAGATCAGCACCACTGTTGCCTTCCCACAGGTTAACTTGGAAGACCAAGGAGTTTTGTCTAAGCTGGTGGAAACTATCAGGACTAATTACAATGACAGATATGACGAGATCCATCGTCACTGGGGAGGCAATGACCTGCATCTGTGGTTCACCTTGTCAAGCTTGAAAAGGCAAAGGATAAAAATCATGCCACTAAACTGGGTTAAATGTATACTGTTGAGTTTTCTGTACATAAAAATAATTTTAACAATTTTTAAAAAGTGCTTTGGGGATAATCTTTTCTTTTTTTTTTTTTTGAGATGGAGTTTTGCTGTTACCCAGACTGGAGTGCAATGGCACGATCTCGGCTCACCGCAACCTCCACCTTCTGGGTTCAAGCAATTCTCCTGCCTCAGCCTCCCGAGTAGCTGGAACTACAGGTGCGCACCACCATGCCCAGCTAATTTTTGTATTTTTAGTAGAGACGGGATTTCACCTTGTTGACCAGGATGGTCTCGATCTCTTGACCTCGTGATCCACCCGCTTCGGCCTCCCAAAGTGCTGGGATTAAATCTTTTCAAAGGTTTAATCACATATTTTGTTGGGAAAAATAGCAGAGGAGAAAGGACTTACAGAGTACCTACATAAATTGATTATAACTAACATATAAACAAGGAACAACAAACTGCAGGAGGCCTCTGAGGAGGAAGGCCTCTTCATGTTCCGGTGCAGGGTGACCTAGGCTCTGTTACCATAAACACTGTGCCCAAGCATGTAAAACCCCTTCATAGCACTATGACATAGCCAGACTTATAGGCTCCTTGTAAGGTCTGTGTTCCACCAGCTGTACATAGATAATAAACTAAAGATAACCACATGTTCTTGTTTTGTGAAACTCCCAAACTGCCAGTTATCAGTCCTTCTGGCTCACTGATTCACTTCCGGCTCACTGATTCATCCCACCATCACTCTACCCCTACCCTGTAGATCAAAGTAATTGTAATCAATAAATAGTGTGGATGATCAGAGCTCAGGGCCTTCACTGTCACCTCCAGAGTAATGAAGTGATGGCCCCCTGGTCCCACTTTTTTTCTTAATCTGTCTTTCCTGTGTCGCCACCAAACTTGGGGTACCCACAGGTGATGTAGAGCTGGCTCCCTACAATATTTGATAAGGAGTATATTAAATATAGTTTGACTTCAGACTCATGTCTCTGGACATAACATATTTAACCATGCGATAATACTTTTTTTTTTCTTTTTAGAGACAGGGTCTTGATGTGTTGCCCAGGCCAGAGTGTAGTAGCATGATTCTAGCTCACTGCATCCTGAAACTCTGGGCTCAAGCAGTCCTCCCAATAGCTGGGAAATACAGGCATGTGCCACCATGCCTGGCTTTTCTTTTTTTTTCTTATTTGTTTTTTAGAGACAGGGTCTTGTTATATTGCCCAGGCTGGTCTCGAACTCCTGGCCTGAAGTGATCCTCCCACTTTGGCCTCTCAAAATTCTGGTATTACAGGTGTGAACCACTGCACCCCAGCCCAGATCTTTTTAAGAATGAGTAATTTTGCACTGTTCACTAAATTTTCTGAAATTCATTCCTGGGCTATTTTGCCTAAGGTTTTACTATTTTTCCTCCCAAGTAAAACAACTAGAAGCCACATAATTGTTTTGAATTTTTGTCTCCCTGCTTTTTAGATATTTCTCTGCAGTTGCTGGTCATGATATTAGTGAGTTTCCTTTGTTATTTTTCTTCCTCTGCAGCTTCTGATATTTACCTATTATGTCTTTATAATTGTAACAGAACTAAATACATATATAATGATTAAGGAAAAATAAACTACTCTAAAAAAATAGACCAAACATCTAATGGCTTGTATATAATTTGAGTTTATTTCTTACTTGTGTCGAGGTGTGTGGGTGGGTTTTTTTCATTCAGTGATTCTAGGTTCCTTACATCTTCTGGCTTTGCCATCTTTTAGAGCCTTGTTATACTCTGGCCCCACTTAGTGGAATGAGAAGAGCACAGAGAAGGCACACTTGTTCTTCTAAAAGCACCAACCTGGAAATGGCATATAGCATTTCCACTTACGTTCTGTTGGTAAGAACTTAACACTTAAGAGGTAAAGGAAGCTGGAAAATGTGGTCTTGCCGTAGGTCAAGCTATACTGCTTTTATTTGGGAAAAAAATGGATTTTTATGAGCCAATAATAGTGTTTACTGTAGTTCCCAAGTCCAAAATCAAGACATACACAAACACACACACACACACACACACACACGTGCATGCCACACACACAGACACACACACACGCATTTTTGTTTTCTGTCTTGCAGAAGAGGCTAAACTGGCTTGTGACTATTGTTTTGTGCTTGGAGGCATTTTTACTTAGGTACAGTTTCTGGGATATGTTGTGCTAGAAGGTTTAATTGGGTTGATCACTCCAGCCTTAAGCATGTGGGCTTTGGAATCATACAGAGCTTGAATCTAATTGTTACTTTAGATTTTTTTTTTCTGCGTCACCCTGATAAAGTGATTTACCTTTCTGAATTGTGGTATTATTCCTCTCTAAAATGGGAAAAACGTAATACTTATCTCTCTGGTTTGTCATGAGGATTAAATGATAGTTCATATGAGGTAGCTAACATGGTATCTAGTGCAAAGAAAATACCAAGTAAGTGATAACTGTTATTGTTATTAATAATGAATAGTAACAATGATTATTATTGTCATCTTCATCATTGTGGCTATTTAGTTAGCTGGTCACAGTGATTTTTGATTCCCAAGTCCTTCTTCAGTGAAGCTACCAGAATAGCCAAGTATCTTCTTTTGCCCTTTGAGTCCAGGTGACTTATTTAATCCCTGTAACAGCAGTTGACATTTTTTTCTAGTTGATGTCATCATTCGAAGCAGTGAGTTTCTGTTTCATTCCTTAATCTTTTGTTGCTTTGTCAGTATTAATACAGAAATGTTGAAATGTTTCACTAGTGTAAGTCAAACTTACTCTCTTTTTCACTATATGCATTTTTTAAATTTGTCTTTCAGAGTCAACAATTGCATGTTCAAACAAAAGGAGGCAAAGTGATCTTTCTGGGAACAGTTTATGGAAATATAGATATTCATGCATCAGATAAAAGTGTAAGATTGAAACTTTTTTTTTTTAGTAATTGCAACTTTGCTTCCATTTGGCTTACCAAATGGGTAGGTTCTACAAAGTTCGTGGTGTAACATTCCCTTTTTAATGCATTTTAGTTCATAAATAAATTCAAATTTGAAATTTAAGTGATTAAATAATATACAACTTAGGCTTTAGTTTGTGGTTTAATACTTTTGACAGTTAATTAGTTCCTAGTCTGGAATCAATAAAAAAATGCTTAATATTTAACTCTAGCTCTGAAAATATTTTTATTTTTATGATCATAGATTAAAATAGATCATTAAGTAATATCACCAGTAACTGGATTGGATTTTTCTTATGTTAGGTTTATTTGAGTATTTTCTAAGACCTTTTTACTTCACCCTTAGGCAAACTGAAGGATGTTTCAAAACTCAACTTTCTTCAGTATTTTCCACAAGGTGGCACCATTAGATAGCTTTACTGCTTTCTCAGAGCTTTTTTTTTTTAAAGTAGCTATTAGGATTTTAGTTGTTACAGGAAGATTGTTTGTATTTTTTAATCAACTCTTTTTGTAGCCTTTGGTTATTTAGGGTAGTATTAAGAGCAAAGGTATAATTTTGAAATTATAAGATGTAATTTAAAAACATGATTGATAATGTTATATCTTTGGGAAAAAGTTTCATTTTATTTTACACTTAGACAATTTACAAGAGCCTTTTTGTTTCTTATAAATTTGTTAAATTTCATAGTCGGCTTTATTTTCAGATAATTGGTGGGGACGAGTTGCAAGCATATTTTGTATGTAGATTATTGTTGGCATAATTAAACAAGGTAGATTATAACAGTAATTGTTTCTGTTTTTTTAAATCTTCCATCATCTTTCTCTTAGGCCCCATGAGAGCTTGTTTAAACCTAAACATTTAAAAATGCTCTGTAAATTAAACTAGGATAGTGTTGAAAGATACTGTGTGACCTTATGCAGCAGCTTTTTGAGATGGTATTTAGTTTTACTTCTTAGATTGTTTGCAGCCTCTTCGAACTCAGTAAATGATGGCTAATGTTATTGAAATGATATAAGTTACTAGAATATTACAAATTTACAATGATATATAAGTATCAGAGAATTTAATATCTCAATCATTTGTTACTTTGAATATTTTGGCCACTGTTTCCTCTCATTTATTTGTTGCAACTTTTATGGTTTACTGAGTATTCATGTATTTTACTTGCTATTATATAATTTTATTTATTGATTGAGTTTTGTTAAGTACTAAAGAATCAGTCTAGGTTTTTTTTTCTATTTTATTACATATAGTATTGATTTTTAATGTATATTTCTAAGTTAGTAATTTTTATAAAACATATAAAATAAATACTTGTGAAATCTATTAACTTTTAATACACAACTTACATAGAAATGTGATTTGGATATTTGAGAGACAACATAGTGAATTAGTTAAGAGCACAGAATATATGAGAGCCAAACTACCTGTGTTTGAATTCTGGCTCAACCATTCACTAAGCTCTATAACTGGACAAAGTACTTAACCTCTGTGTGTCTCAGCTTTTTTTGAAAATGGGATAATAGTAATAAAACGAATTCAAAAAATCCTCTTTTAAGAGGATTAAATAAGTTAATACAGGTAAAGCACTTAAAACAATGTCTGGCACATAGCTAAGTCTAATGTAATAACACAATGATGATGATAAAGGTAAAGGAAGCACAGGAAAGATAACTTGACCGGTTCTAGACCTACCAGTTAGCTTCCCTGAGACTGTTTCATTGTTCAGAAAACAAGATGGTAATACTTGCTTTGTCTACTCAACAAGATTGTGAGAATCAAATGAGCACTATAAATAAAAGCATCATTATTTCTACATGTTGTTTTTCTTTTTTTTTCTTTTGCCAGTGCCAATGATCAGTAATACCTGGTATTTTTAAATTGTGTTAATTTCAGTACATAAGTTTAGTTTTCTTACTTAATAGAGAACACAGAAACCCATTTCATCGACTATTTGGTGAGTCGATGACATAGTTTTCCTCTCAATCTGGGCTACAAAGCCACATTGCCAATGCCAATGGTCAGTAATACCTGGTGTTTTTAAATTGTGTTAATTTCAGTACCTAAGTTTAGTTTTCTAACTTAACAGAGCACACAGAAACCCATTTCATCTGACTATTTGGTGAGTCGATGACATAGTTTTCCTCTCTGGGCTACAAAGCCATAGTACTTCCTTAAAACTTGGTTTTCATTATTTGTTAGAACTATGTATGATATATGTATATATATACATATTCATAATAACTAAATTAATGAAAATTTTTTCTTTTCATGTAGAAAAGAAAATTTATAGCAATACCTCTATCAGGAAGGTATTGATTTTTAAATGTACTTTTTGTTCTGTCATTAAATAGGTAAATTTAAATTCCTTCCATTTAGTTTGGTGGAAAGCTATTGTATTATTAGATGTCAAGTGGAAAAGTTCTAGAAATAATAGTATATTTCCTACATTAACATACTAATGGGGAAAAACCAAGATAGGTCAATAGAATCAAATAAAGTATGTGCTAAAATTCAAAACCCATTCATGATTTAAATAGCAAAAGTAATAAAACAAAGTTGAAATAGAAGGGAATGTCCTTAATCTGATAAAAATTATTTAAAAAATATAGCAAACATCATGCTTAATGGTGACATGCTGTAAACTTTTCTTTTGAGAACAGGAATAAGACAAGGATGCCTGCTGTCCCATTGCTTCTACTAGCTGCTATTCACTGTTGAATTGGAGGCCTGAGACAGATGGTTAAGGCAAGAAAATAAAGAAAAAACAGGAAAAAACGTATCAATATAAGGATTGGAAGGGAGGAAATGAAGCTATCACTTGTAGACAGTATAATTACACATATAGAGTTTTTAAAAATACAGATAAATTATTAGGATTAGTGAGTTTAGGGAAGTTGTTGGATTAAGATCAATTACAAAGTCAATTAGGTTCAAATGAAATTTTAAAAGATACCTTGTACAATAGCACTTAAACAAATATATAAAAGGAATAAATCTAACAAAAGATTAAGAATTTTTTATAGAACATATAAAACACTGTTAAGAAAAATTAAATGAGACCTAAATCAATGGGGAAATATGTTAGATCCATTCCATATTCTACAGAGAATGCACTATTGCTTACATTCTTATAATTAGAAGTAGGGAATCAGAGTCAATAAAGTGATTGTGTACTAGGTAGTAACATTTTATGTAGTTACTCACTAATTCCACAGGTAGCATTTTGGCTTTTTACCAGTCTTTGTTTTACAATGAACTGATTAGTCTTTCTCTTACTAGGCTGTGACCATAGATAAACTGCAGGGAAGTTCTGTTACTGTATCTACAGAAGATGGTTTGCTGAAAGCCAAATACCTTTATACAGAATCATCATTTCTGTCTTCTGCTGCTGGGGATATTACATTAGGAAGTGTTCATGGTAAGCTGACAAAGGCATAATACATCTGACTTTACACATAGCATAAATTTGAAGAGATCTCAACTACTCTCTGTAGTTGAAAATGGATCAGGAAACTGGCCTGTAAATAATTAATTGCAGACTAACCATCTTTTTAAAAAAACCATAAAAATAAAATGACTCAAGCTAATTTAATTTTATTTGGGCAAGAGACTAAAGATTATGCTGTTATATATGGAACTAATAGTAATTCTAATTTTTAATGCATTTTCTTTTCTCTTTTTTTTTGACACAGAGTCTTGCTCTGTTGCCCAGGCTGGAGTGCAATGGCACAATCTTGGCTCACTGCAATCTCCTCCTTTCAAGTTCAGGTGATTCTCCCACCCCAGCTTCGTGAGAAGCTGGGACTACAGGTGTGTGCCATCACGCCTGGCTAATTTTTGTATTTTTAGTGGAGATGAGGTTTTGCCATGTTGCCCAGGCTGGTCTCAAACTTCTGGGCCCCAGCGATCCAACCGCCTTGGCATCCCAAAGTGCTGGGATTACAGGCATGAGCCATGCTGCACCCAGCCTGTGTTTTCTCATAGTAGGAAACAAATAGCAAGAAAATATATCCAGGAGATGAAGTAAAAGCAGTGTTAGGTAAAGATGAGTACTGAGTGATTGCTTTTATGTTAAGAAAGCTGAGGGTTAAATTAATGAAACATTTGGTGGAATAGCAACTCTGATACCAAGTTTGTTTTAAATGTTTTGTGTGCTTTTGTACTGGCACCACCTTTTCTCAGCATCCTGTTGTTTCCATTTTCTTGGATTAAATATCCTCTTGTGATTTCTAAATCCTGTCTCTGCAAGAAATATTACATAGTTAATGTTTGTATTATTGAAAGAAAATTAGAAAAGTATAATGATGAGGTAATATGGCAAAGGGCATGCTGGTGTTCAGTGTCACTCAGCCTACTTCTTAAATATCCATAGAGCAGATGATTCAAATCCAGGTGTTTTCTGAAATATATACAGATAGAATTAATAATCACTAATCCTAGCAAGAAGTACAGTATATAAACATCTGCTAAATGCCTTTTGGGCCATATTCCAGGAAGTATGGATTTGGACTTTTTCCGTATATAGTCCACTCACTTCACCTCTATAGTAAAGCTGAATATTGGTATCTGTACTTAGGCAAAACCCTCAGATTTTAGTTGTGAGCAAGAGTTATTCAGTGGTATTAGAAAGCATGGTTAGCACTAACCATGCTATGTAGTTTTCTAGTTAAAAAGAAACAGAGAGGGCCGGGCGCGGTGGCTCAAGCCTGTAATCCCAGCACTTTGGGAGGCCGAGGCGGGTGGATCACGAGGTCAACAGATCGAGACCATCTGGGTCAACATGGTGAAACCCCGTCTCTACTAAAATTACAAAAAATTAGCTGGGCACGGTGGTGCATGCCTGTAATCCCAGCTGCTCAGGAGGCTGAGGCAGGAGAATTGCCTGAACCCAGGAGGCAGAGATTGCGGTGAGCCGAGATCGCGCCATTGCACTCCAGCCTGGGTAACAAGAGCGAAACTCCGTCTTAAAAAAAAAAAAAAAAAAAAAGAAACAGAGAGTGGGGAGAGAGAGAGAGAGCAAGAGCGAGAGAGCGCTCACAACTTATATGCTTGAAATAGTTCTTGAGCCTCAATTTAATGGTTAAACCTCAAGCATTCTGACAAGGTTAAGGTATTATTTGAGCCTGAAATAGATCAAGTACATAGGGAACTGTATCCAGATGAAGCAAATGGTTTTGTTACTTATTCATTTATTTATTTTTTATTCAGTTGTACATTAGGTAGATCTGGTAACTTGTAACTCTTCATATTTCAAAAGTGACTTTTATATAAGCATTGCATTTCTAACTATCTTAATCATAATGAAAGTACTGTGGTTAATATATTTAGCAGCTTTTAGTGGAGAAACAATTCCTTATCAAGTCAGATGCGGATTAACATCCACAGGAAAAAGCAGCTCTAATCTGCAATGCTTTATACCATGTTTACACTAAATTCATAATGTTTCATTGCTCTGCATTCTTTTAAGTTAGATAAATTGAATTTGGTACAGTTTATCATTAATTGTCTACATGGTAGTAAAACAGGTGGACTTTTTTGAAGCAGTCCTCAAAGTACTCTAGGGCTGTTGATTACATAAAGTAGCTAAAATGGAAATATATTGCTAAGAAAGAAAGACTTAATTCCTTAGCCTTAATAGAGCCTTTTTATATTTACTGACCTTTAATACAAAATCATATACCTTTCCTTAGCTGGTTTAAATTGAGGTCCTCTTTTGGACTGTTTCAGATTGAATTTCCCTGAAGGCAGACACTCAGATGGAAATCTGAGCATAGCACATTTACTAGGACTCGTGGGAGCAATGCCGTGTAAAGGAAGAAAGCCAGTTTTCCATGGGAGAAGTTGGACTATGATACAGTTTCAGTAACCCACACGGAGAGCTCTGAAGCTAGGATGGTCCCTAAGAGTTGTCTCTAGCTGGGGTGAGAGGAGCTGGACGTTTATATCCCCAATCATTAGATACAAGCTGTCCCAGAAGGAGTATGATCTTGGGCTGAAGTGGCTCATTTTAGCTGAGGCAATTCCCAAAGGGGGCTGACAGCTGAGGGCTGTCTGCCAACAGTACTCCTGATAACTAGGAAAATAAGCCCTTCAGTTATAATGGGGGCTCTGGATGAGGAATACAGCATCCACTATAGTTATATTTGTTCATTCATTTGATGCATCTATTGACCACCTACTATGTGCCAGATTTCCAGGCACCAAGGTTGTAAAGTTGGGCAAGAGATGAAACTTATCGTTAAAGAACTCAGAGTAGACTAGAAGGATTAAATGTACCTTCTTATTTTCTCAGTCACTACCATTCCCACTGGGATGCTACTACCTACCTCATTTCCAGTGGTCCATTATCAACCTGCCTCAATGCAGTGAACTATTTTAGCTGTTTCTCTCAGCTTCTTTTGTAATACTAGTACAGCAAAAAGGAGTAGGAGAAGAAAATTTAATCCAGTTTCAAATTATAGCTACTTTCACAGAAGTAACTGTAGAAAAGCTTCCATGTTCAGGCTTGCTTTCTCCATCTAGTTTTTGACCCTCACTCTGCTTTGGTTTTTCAGGATATACAAGAGAGAAATAAGACAGGAAACCCCTCTTTGTTCCATAGTCACACCCAGTACCTCGACTTTTAAAAAGTCACCTTTGAGGCACATCTAAGTTTCTTGTTTTCCTCTCCCATGTCACCTCTAGTTCCATCCTTGTCCTAAGGCATTACATGAACATGCTTTTGGAGTTTGTAGTTTGGAGTTTGGGATGGGAGGGGTACAGGAGAGAAGGCAGTGTTTTAGTCTCACATCCTGATGGGTAAGACGATTGGAGTCATGGCTGGTGAAAGTAAGTCCCAGTTTTCTAGCTTCTGGAATTTTGGTGGCAGCTATTTCTCCAAAGATATTCCCAACCTAGAACTCTGGATATATATTTCAATGAGTTCCTTGTTCTAAATGCTGATGGTTATATAACACAAATCAGGTGTATATTTTGGCTATATTTTTAAAAACTTGCCTGAGAATCTTAAAACTTGTTTTTATGGAAAAATACATTGCTATTTCTAAACATGCGACTTACAGAAAACAAACTGAGAATATATGCATTCTTGTTTAGCATTTATTTACTTTGGCTTCTTTTTTCTCAGGCAAGGCTTAAATTGATTTTTTTTTCCAGGTAGTGCTGAAAAAAATCCAACATATAGATGTTGTTAAAACCATTTATACACAAATACAATGCAGTCACTTTGTTTTTGGTAGATTTTACAAGTAGAGTTTGGAGCCTTTGTGCCAGTGGGTGAGTGGGTGGATGGTTGAAAGCAAACATGTATTGAGTACCTAAATTGGCCAGCCCCTTTTACTTAATGAACAATTGGCTGTTTACAGATAAGGAACAATTAGACTTAGAAATGTCTAATTGTTTACTTGCAACCCCACAAGTTAAATTAGTGGAATAGCAAGGATTTGACCCTAGTTTCTTGGCTTTCTATATGTTTTTAAATAGTGAACTTGATTGCAACTGCAAATTCCATCATCACTTTGAGGGCTTCCTGGCTCACTGTAGAGATGTTTCCTCCAGGAAGACAGTACTGTAACACAGATGCACTACTTCAGCTATGTTCTACATTATAACTTCCTTGAGTTTCAGGACAATTATCATGCTTTATGACCGAAAATGTAGATGTTCCTTCCAAACAGTGTTTGGGCTTAGCTCCTTCGTTGCATTGAGGAACTGGACTCCTTCCATAAGTGATGGTGCTGTCTTAAGTGTGTGGCTTCTAAGTCTTTGATGAAAGGAAGGCCATGAAATTTATTTTTTGTCTGCATTTTCTATTTTTTGATATACCCTGATGGTGAAGCAATATCTAACATATTAGTGCTGAGTACTTAGAGCATACCCATTAATGAGGAAAAGAGTAATGAAAGGAGAAATATATCTTTCCTGGCCTTGCAAGTTGATTCCTATGTATAAAAAAGAAAATAATTTATCCTAAGTGCTTTTTCAAGTGAAATTTCTAATTCTAGCTAACTATTTTTTATAGGTAAAAAACTGAGTGAGTTAATTGGCTAGTCATATTTACTATTTGTAAAGTTGGTTGAATCACATCTACTAAGTATGTATGCCTTCTAATACAAAATAGTTTATTCATTGACTTAATAAATACTCACTTTCTGGCACCGGGAGAAAAAAAGTACCTAGTGGGAGCATAGGTACTTGGATAGCCTGTATTTAGATGTAAAATTTTATGGCAGTTTACTATCTCGATTTCCTTCTAAATAGTCAAACATTAAATTTGGCTTTATATGGATATTTTATTATATTCTGACATTTGAATATTGATGTTTTTAAAAGAATGCTACGTATGTATAATAAAATGCATCTATTTATATATATTCTCCTAAATACATTTTTAAATTAAATATGGTTTCCTGACTCTGT